GCACTTAAGGGTTCAAATCCACTTCATGGTAGATTTTTTTTTTTTTTTTAATTTTATTCAATGTATCATTTTGTCTTCATTTCTTTTATTTATGTTTCGTTAAAAATATATATTTATATATATACGTAGTCAACATTTTTTTTCGGATACATCAAAACAAATTAAATTAATATTGTTACTTTGATACAAGGCAATTCTATATGTAATTTTATAATACTAAAATAACTTTTAAGGATTTTAACATAATTTGTGTATTCTAAAACTCCTAAGAAATTGTGAACATCCTATTTACGATAAAAAAATGCCGAAGGCAGAAGAAAACTCATACTTTTACTACGATTATATCAAATATGATCATTACCAGTAAAGTTCAACTTACATCCAATTATACGTGAATATTTAACTACGTACATATATTATATTTTTATGCTTATATTTACATTCCTTATCAATACCTTGTGGTTATTGCGTTGACAAAATTCGTACTACATATATATGTACAAACATAAAAGTAGATTCCTTAGTCTTTATAAATAGTGCGTATTTTAGATTAAAGAGTCTTACAGAGACTGAACGAAGCTTTTTTTATTCAACACATACTAGTGTTTCCACCACTTGTAACTCAGAGTATGGTTTAGAAAAAAAATTTGTATTCTGTGTAAACAATTAATCTTTTTACCTAAAATCAATTGTTATTGTAATTTTTCAGAAATAGTTACCAAAATTTTTGACAGTACGTAAATCATATACAGTTAACAAAAATTTTTTTTCCTCTGTTTGGAAGGTGGCACTATATATATTTTTATAGATGAATAACTTTACAAAATATTAAAATTTCACAATTGAAATTGCTCTTTNGAACAGATTTGAAATATATGTAAAAAAAATTTGAAATATATGTGTAAAAAACGGGTTTCGTTTTAGAACGATAGTAAAACTTTCAAGTAACTACAATGAAAATACTTTTAGAAAGCATTAAACATCAAAACAAAGTAATGTTCTCAACTTAAAATAACAGGTTCAGAACCAGCTCTGCGGCAGTAGTCTTCTTAGTTTTTTGTTTAAGCCTGTCAGAGGTATGCTGAAGCCAAGTCTTCACATGATGGCTACATTTTTGTTTCGTATACTCTTTTGATGATTTTAGCATTTCATCTGAAATTCAATGTTTTTATTAGTTATAAACTCTTAAATACAGCCAGAAACGAGTCTAGGTATACGAGGGTGCCGATGACGATGTTCGGGTAATCGTCACCTAGAGTTTTTAATTAAAAAATTTAATTAGACTCTAGCGAGAGTCTAGGTATACGGGGGTGCCGATGACGATGTCCTGGTGATCGGCACCGAGAGCTTTTAGTTATAAATATTTAAATAGACTCATAAACGAGTCCAGGTGTACGAGGGTGCTGATGACGATGTCCTGGTGATCGGCACCGAGAGTTTTCAATTTTACACATCTAAATAGACTCATAAACAAGTTTACCGACCGACCGACTACTTAAAAAAACGAACCCAATGTACATACATACATACATTAGCCCGTTCCCCGAAAAATTTAAACTCTTTTTATTAATTATAATAAAATACGAGTAATAATTATAACCATATAGTAGTTGTAGATAAATGAAAGTTGTGTCGGGATTAACCTCGTAACAAAGTGACATCAATTTATTTTGACGTTCAGGTTATTATTTGTAATTAAATAAATAAATCATTTGAATTTCGCTGGGAACGAATTAAGATATCAGGCTGATATATATATGTGCGATAATTTCAGGCAGTCGATAAAGAAGATTTTTTACATGAAGACTAATGAATTCTTTAAGAACTCTTGTTGGGCCCATCTCACATGACATAAGTTGATGAATTTATGAATTCTTAAGGTGTACTTAACGACGTAAAATTATATTTAAAAAGAATTCATTAAGAATTCTTTTGAAGACATATGATCACATATTAAATACATATTGAATTCATTCTAATGAATTCTTTAAGAATTAAAAAAAAAGAATTCAATTACAATTCACATTGTGTTTCCGTGCCTGCTGGGTTCGTAAGCCCAGAACAGAATGTGATACGGCTGCGAGCCACACTTTCCTTCTATAAATACTTTTATGTGGTCATTAAGTAAGTATAAAATTCCTTATAAGATCAATGACCACATGTTTTATTGAAAAGCTTATTTAGGTTCCCTGCTTTCTTTCGAATTGTGAGATATTTGACTACAATATTGATTATTATTATGATTATGTGATCAGTGTCTGCTTGTTTTCGCAAAAATTTTAAGCTCAAAAATTTCATGTAATTGTACGATTCAATGTATTAGAAATCAACTTCACTATATGCCTCTCAAAGACCTGGGAACCAATTCCACCGTACGTCCTAATGAGTTGGGAACCAATTTCATTATTTTTATGATTTTGAAAGCCAATTCTATAACGGCTCAATGAGGAATGACTAGAGAGCAAATCGATTTACCAGTAGTTCTTACATTATTATTAATATTAGACTTTGAAAAACTAATTCTTTATCTTAAACATTTTTTAATTAACCTTGGTGGGTAAACATTGACCAATGAAACTGTACAAATATATTTAAAATTGTTAAAATTAAACTGTGGTGATAAAAAATTTAATGTTTTTTTAATTGACTGACTATTGCTTTTTTCTGTGTAACGGGACAATCAGAATGATAATCAAAATATGAATCATATTTGATGATTTTTTACATTAATTTTTGGGAAAGGAAAAATTATTTTTAACCATTAACGGTCATTTCCAAGAAATTAATACTGTTATTTTACGACCATGATTTTGTAAACTTTAAAAACTCGATAAAATTATTTAAAAAATTCAAATCTAATTCAATTTTTTGATCCAAAGCACATAATAATTTATCGTAGACGTAACGAAAATAAATCGAAACATCAAACGGACATAAATTAAAACATGTAACTTTAAGATCTCTCATAACTAAATCTGTATAAATTGGGCTAATAAGGCTGCACATGGAAAATCCTATCTTTTGGTAATGAAAATTCATCATTGAACTGGAAAAAATCTGATAGAGACAGATTAATCTCGTTGTGTCAATGAAACCAAAATTTTATTATATACTTTCTAATAACCGTCACATCAGAATCTTTTTGTTGATTCTTATATTTAAAGACTTTATTATTAATATTAATACAAACATACTTTTTTAGTGTTGGTGAGGACATTCATTACAGTTAGAGGGGAAATGTAGAGAGTGCAGTGAGGGGAGCGAGCATGTGGCAGCGCCGACAACTGTTTTGCATGCATTTATATATCTATTTATAGGCGTCTGACACTGTTTTTTATTTAATTGCAAAAATAACTTGTCTATCCCTCTCAAAATTAAATATAATACCAGTAATATGGTATTGCATCATGTAAAAAAAATATGGATGAATTCTACCAACCATTTTTTCATGAATCCCATTTTATGTGATTCTTCCGTAAGGTTACGTGTTAAATTAAATTTTTTCCAAAATTTAACATCTAAACAACGGTGTTGTAAAACAGTCTCAAATTTAAAATCTAACTTTCTCACATCATTACCAATATCCTGTTGGAATTTCAGGAAGTGTATACCCAAAATGCTGTGTGTAATGAACATCCTTAATATGAGTTGTTTAAATATAACGCCATACAAGTACCATTCTTTTTGTAAAAGATTATAGAGTATCATGTAAACACTCGATCACTGGAGACTAAAAAATAGCTGTGGGAAATTAAAATCAAACAAAAAGTCGAAAAGCTTACAGATTTTTATTAAGTTTATTCTCATAGTCAACGAATATTTTAAAAAATAGTATGAGGTAATATGTTTTAATACAAACAATAGTTTGTAAGATCTCAAGCGATTGGTTCTTTTTAGACATGACTGCTCCACAGAATTGCCTTATGTTCTTGCTGAAACAATAACCACGCCTAAATAGTCTATTTTTGTTATGAAATAAGTTTCAAAAATCATTCAAGGGTGTTTCAAGTGATATTATCTAGTGCTGAAATGTACGGATATGAAGACACGTAAATCGACTATCTTCAAAGTTCTACTTCCGAGTAGGCTTCAATTAGATTTGTAGCTATGTTTTTATACTATTAATTGACAGTTTAAAACCCAGTAAAATTCATCAAAGGTAACAAATTTTTGACCTGAAGATGGTTAAAATGTTGGAAAAAAAAATCACTATTATAGCTTTAGTTTCTAAGTTTTTACGTTTTAAGTCAATGTACACAGTTAAAAAAAAAAAATAAAGGTATTTATCACTATAAGGCAATATTTAATCACTTATATCGATGAAAAAAATAAGGTTCTTAATGTCCTTTTAAGAAAAAAAAAAAAAAAATACTTGAAAATTAAGAACGTTGATTATTTAGGTATAATTCCAAAAATTAGAATCACACATTTTTGGTTTCAAGGAGAAAGTTGTAGATTTTCAAAAAATACAACTGTTTAATATCTTTTTTTTGTTTCCTTGATAGCAGCTTCATACTTTGAAAATTAAATAGGTACCTAGCTATCACTAGAATCTTCACAACTACAATAGATATATATTTTTTGTACCAGATTATGAGTTTAAAATAAAACTTTTTGAAAACATTAGATTTCCACTAATTTGAGATAAGTTTTTAATGTTGTTTCAGAAAGTCGTTGTAAAGGTAATTGTTTCTTGTTCAAAGTTATGAAATACGCTGGATTGTATAAAGCTTCTTTTTATAAAATCAATTAATGTAAAATAAAAAGTGTTTTTTATATTTATAAAATGACCAATAACCTTAAGTAGAAGAAATCCTAACTATCTTATCTCATGATTTACACACACACATAGATAATGTATTTGCTAACAACCTTATATAGCTACCTGCGTATCAGTACTTACCAACGCAAAACGGTTGCTGTGAAAGCGCGCAAACTCGTCTATTGACTAGTGTAGAAAGAAGGGAGAAAGAAAGTCTTGTTGTCATGTCTGCACCATTTCTCATCCCCTAGTTGCTCACCCACTTAGTATCACGAACCCGCTCGATCCATAATATCCACGTTGTCGTGTCAATACAGAAAATCAATATAGTATTTTCTTTGTCTTAAAAAAAATAATAGAAAAAATAAAACCTTAGAATAGGTAAAGTATTAAAATAAAGGAAGTAAAGAAGTATCAAGATAAGTTGTCGAAAGGTTTCGAGAAAGCCTCACTAGCATGCCAGGCTCACCAGCTCTTAAAGGTTGTAAGAAGAATGACAAGAGTAAGTCTGCTATCTATCAATAAGTTGGTCTGTGTGTTTGTTCTTTATATATTATATCTTTTTCTACTTAAAGTATTTTTCAGACTTACATTTTTTTTCATGCAAATATTTATATGGCTCTTTGTTTTTGACGATATGCAAGATTTACTGAGAGTAATGCGTATACTAAAAGCAATAGTTGCATAGTACAAAAATTAAATGAAAAATATCAAATGTGGGATGTTTTTTGGAAGTCTTGTTTTAATGGTTATAGTTTTCTCTGAGAATAAAAGGTATTATTACCACTGATAGTGTGTAATTAGTGGAAAGATAGTTGTCGCTATCGTATTTTTTTATATTAATACCCTATTATCAAGTCGGTGTTTAATTATTGAGGATTCGAGCTACAATGGTGTAAATAAAGTTGTCCTTTAATTTTACGAGGTTTCCAGAACTGAATTTTTCATTAATATACAATAAAGGAGTCTTGTATGTTTTAACAGTAAACTTTAATTATTACTACAATTTTATTTTAGACTTTTAGTCAAATTTAGATGTGGCAATACGACCCTCAACTCCTATTGATACAAAATCTTATCTGTATGACCTAATATTAAAAAAGTATTCAAGGATTGTGGAAGGAGGAATTAAAATAGAATGTATTACATTACAAAGGTGAATATGTAAGAAACATCAATAATTGTTTTCCCTGTGTCTTTACTTGCTCCTTAAGAAATCATGTATCTAAGAAATATTGCTGTGTTTCTGAGTTTTACTGATTTTCTACTGATAAACCTTTTGAGAGCTTTATTTATTTTGGTGTGTGCAAGAAGTCACACACACTGCGCATTTAACACCTTTATAATCATCGATATTTACATTAAAAAAATAATTATAAATAAACAACTAATATTGCATAATTAAGTTAAAGATTGTCATGACTTTTATCTCATACTAAATTAAGTTATAATATAATGTGTAACTGTAGGTTAGATTAAAAAATCACTTCAAATGAATAGACTCTCGATCTAACAAAGTGATAAATTTGACACGTAGGTGTTACGATCTATTCTTTTCTCGTTACTATAAATAAAAAACATTTACATAACTAAATTTAGAGTAACATTAATATATTTTTACAATATTCTTTCATTGTTTTAAAATTAAATTAACTTGTTTCTAGACTTATTAAAAAATTTTTAAACATGAACTTCATATTTATTAGAATAATATGCATCCATATTTAAAAGAAATTACAGTAATAACGAAGGAAAATTCCAATCGTGCGACATTTTAACTGTTAAACTTTAAAAAATGTGAATAAAAATTTACTCTCATTAAGATTCTATTTAAGAGTCAGTAGCCAATAAGTTATCAATACGTGAGCCTATATATATACCATAACGGTATAGAAAATAACCATGCAAAACTTATTTTAAAGGGACGCTTCAGTAAGTCACCACAAAATTTGTAATAAATGATCAATTGTATTGTGCACATTCGATATCAAGGAATGTTATTTCATTAAATGATGTGTATTGCAATAATTATTATAAACTTTCTGCACTGCATGTTTAGATATTGTAAACTATAAAACAAACTGCGTAAAAGATTTACAAGTTTTCTTTTTAAATTTGGTTTCCATTTTACAAAGTTTGGACTTCTTCTGGAAACATATTCTTCATAAAGTTAATGAAAAATTTCTAGAAATTATTTAATGTGGAAAAAGTTATTTACTGTATACTTCATACATTGGAACACGTCAGAATATTGTAAAAAAATAACATTTTTGTCTAAAAATTAGTCCCTTCCTTTTTGTAATTTTATCTAGTTATATGTAAATCTTCCACCGAGAAAAAGAACCCATAATTTTTACCGTGATTGTCCTTACAAAAATTACCGTGCAGACGGTAATCGAGGGACACAGGACAATTTTTACCGTGAAAACAGTAAAAATCATCTGGCACTTAACAAAAGTTTCCCTTGTTTGAAAACAATTACCACTAAAACTGTAAAGCACATCTATTTACCTTTTACATTGAACTTTTTATTCCACCGAAAAATGTAATAAAAAATAGCTCTGCAGAAGTTTGTTCGTTGTACTAAAAATATTTTTACTACATAAATAATAGAAAAAAGTTTTTTAATTTTTTCTTTCCGTTTTTTTTCTCTACGTGTTACATTATTTGTTTGGATTAGTTTATAAGGTAAGAAATTAAAGGATTACATGTAGGTATCAGGTACTTTTATTTTTTATGTATGGATACAAACAGACAGTTACGACCAATTTTTTATTATATAATTTTTTTCATCTGATGTAGTTAAACTGTGGGTTAAAATGCAATCATAGAGATTTTCACTCTGCACAAATATAAAATTAAATGAATATGATACTAATTCGTATAAACCAGAATGTAAATCTAAATAAACATCAGTAAACGCTTTTAAAATTAAATAATAATTTGAACTTTGAAATATGATTTTTTTAATTTGAAAAAACTTTATGCCATCTTCGGAGGGCAGCATAATTATAATATTGTCTATTCCTAAAGTCTTTCCTTCAAATTCAAAAAAAATTTTGTGTCTGTACATGCGTATATTATTTAAAAGCATGTAGAAAAGAATTATAAAGGTACGAAATTCCAGGCAAGTTTACAATAGACTCCAAAGTAGTTTGAGTATTATGAATCGCATTAAAATTATATTTATCCTGTAACAATCGAAAATTGTACGATAACTGATGTTTTACAGATATTGTATGACGGACTATTTACAGAAATATTTTGTCAGCTTAAGAAAACTCCAGCAGTTCGCTTTCCTTCTCTGTGCTTGCTTTCACTTCGGATTGCACTTATATTCCAAGGAGGACCCACCATAGAAAATATTCGAGAATAGTGCGTTAGTAGATGATGTTTTGGCTTGAAACTGCCTGGAAAAATTCGATTCAGCTCACTTAAATAATCACTTATAGTATATCTAATGAGAATGTAAGAATTAGAATAAAAATTATTACTCGAAACCATTTCTACTACAAGACACAATTGTTTTAATAGCCCCCACGCTGGCTCATTTTTCAGAACTGTGTGTGCAATCATTGGTCGTATGAATCTTATTAAACACAGCATCTTGGAAGCTGACATAACTGTTTTTTTCTTATTAATTTGATCATCACGTATGACACTTGCTTTGTTAGAAAAAGGTCCGTAATATAACCAACGATGTAATTATTTAGCATATCTAAAGTAAAACATTTTTTTACTTTTATAAAGTGGTGTAAAATTAATCCTACATCGTATTGGCAAACACCTTCCAGTGTACCATGCATGCAATCCACCGATAAATTTTTGATGCCTTTAAAGGTATGCAGCTCGTTAAATACATTTTTCACGACATTTTTCGGTAAAGTAATGGTTTGTTGCAATAAGAGCATATGCTTAGAGTGAATTTCTTATTTATCATTTTCTCGCATTTACATTGGTCAAGCCACTCTACAACTTAAATGGGGTAAAGTATTATAACTTTATAGAGAATTCCTCACAGTATTATTTAATTCCGTTCATAGTCGTTTCATGAAAGAACTATATGGTAATATCTCTTAATTTTAGGTTTTCAAGTAAATACATAAAAAAGTTGTTTAAAATAAACCTATTACTAAACACTTCATTTTCGTTAGTTTTGAAAAAAGAGTTCTACAACCAAATTCACTTTGTTGTTCCCATATATGATGTAATAAATTATAAAAAAAAATTTTTTAGGACCAATAGAAGCCAAGATACGGTATTTCCATTTTTTCAGCCTTAAGGACGTTCGGTAGTGATTGAATTTTCCAACGAATTTTTCTGAAATTTCAACCAGACGTTCTTATTGTTGTTACAATGAAGCTGTTAAAATTTCAAGAGGTTCGTCTGTTTCGTTTCCGAGATATTGAATTTCAAAGTTAAGTCATTTTAACACTGTCGCTTATGGGAGAACTGACTAAATCACAGTTTTAAGCAAATTGGGCCAGTGAATTTGGCCAATTTTTTTATATGTTACAGATAATGTTATTAATTTGATGTATACCAAGTTTTGCGACTATCGTCTGATTCGTTTATAAATAAAAAATTAAATAAAAGCTCGACCGAAACGCAACGGCAACGTCGCAAGTGGCGGGAAATTCAAAATGTTCCAGGATGTTGATCAGTAAATATCTCAATATTATTGTAGATATTTATGCATTCACGCATAAAATACAAGCTTACGTGTGTGCGTGAGTGTATGTACAGAACGCCCACCCCTTCCCATAAAAAACAATAAATGTTAATAACACGCTATTTATTTTTTTTTTTTAATTTCAAATTTATTATTTCTTCTTAAGATACAATTTTTTTGCACATTACAAAATCACATGCTCATAGTTTGAATCACTCATCTTAGAAATCATCCTACTTATCTGACATCCCATGCTGTATGAGACTTGTCAAGTCATTTAAAAATTCAAGTATTTTATTTACACTGGTAGCTCTTTTGATTAAAGGGCTTTGCCCATTTATTAGAAACGATCTTAAACCATCATTACCTTCCATAAATTTATCAACAATAATATTAAAATCTACTTTATTTTGACTTAGATTTTTAATCACTGTTTTGGGAATGATAGACGACATGGGGGAAAAAGTTGGCGAATACATTTTTTCATCAGAAATTCTTTGAATTTTCGCAAGAACATCTTTTACGGAAAACACGTTCGTTGAAATATCATCCCATGAAAGATATGTAGCGGTTAATTTTTCTAATAAATCAATATCAACTATTGCATTATGAGCGTTTTCAACAGACAATGTCAATAAGTCTTTTCCAAGATCTGAAAGCTTATGATTTTTCCTATTCGGAAAATGTAACAAATACTTACAGCTTTATCACAAAAACATTGATACACGAACGCTGTCGTAACCGACGCAGCACGCAGCAGACGAGCAGACAGTGTAGAGTGTGCAGAGACACCTGATGCGTGTACATGAACACTCACACATTTAAGACCC